GGCCCAGGTGTTTGGGGGGGGTTCAACAGTGGGACGGCTTCTAATGTCCTGGCCCCACTGGTGGACCTCCTGAGGGCAACTGGTATTTCTGGCCACTGTGTGACACAGAGTGTTGGACTGGATGGGCCTTTGGCCTGATCCAACATTGGCGTCTCTTATGTTCTTATGTTAAGATGAGCCTCACAGAGTGGTTATTCCACAGGCATGCTGTCACCACTGACACAGACCTCTCTTTGGGCATAATCTGCTTCACCTCTGCAGGCAAATGGAGTTCAATGTGGCCAAGTGCAAGGTGATGCACATTGGAGCCAAAAATCCTAAATATAAATACACATTGATGGGGTCTGAACTGGCAGAGACTGATCAAGAGAGAGATCTTGGAGTTGTAGTAGATTCACCCAAAGGGTGATTAACACATGGAATTCACTGCCACAGGAGGTGGCGGCGGCTACAAGCATGGACGGCTTCAAAAGGGAATTAGATAAGCATATGGAACAGAGGTCCATCAGTGGCTATTAGCCACAAGGTATAGACAGGGACTCTGGGGCAAGTGATGCTCTGTCATCTTGGTGCTTGGGGGGGGTCAACAGTGGGAGGGCTTCTAATGTCCTGGCCCCACTGGCGGACCTCCTGATGTCACTGGTATTTCTGGCCACTGTGTGACACAGAGTGTTGGACTGGACGGGCCTTTGGCCTGATCAAACATTGGCATCTCTTATGTTCTCTTATGTGTTTTAAGGCAGGGCATGGCCATATAGAGTAGGGAACAAAGAAGAAGGTGTAGCTTAGATCAAGGGCCAGTTGTGAAACTGGGGCTATAAAAAGAGAGGAAAGGGAAATGGGAGGAGGCTAGTAGGAGAGAGGAGGCACGGGAACAGAAAGGAAAGCCAAGCCAGTTAGGGGGCGAAGGGAGAAGAAGAAGCACGAAAGGGAGAAGAATTGTCTCAGGGAAGTTCCTAGGCAAAAAGGAGAGTTGCAGTATTATGGCTCATCTCCCTTTATTCATTTTTTTTAAAAATAGCATTTTTATTGAGTTTTATATATTTTTATATCCTGTATTACTTGTTAGTTGTATACAGTATCTTTCCACAACATCTAATAAACAAGAAGAGAAATGTTATCCATACGCACAATACTTGTTAATAAAACACAAAGTCTCTATATTTCTGAGGTAGTGCATATAATCGGGGTTGATAAGCAGTAAGATACTCAAAAAACACAAACCATTTCTCCAAAAAATTATTAACACCTTTCGGATTGTCAAAAGCTATCAATTGCATAGCAATTTTATCTGAAACTATTTATTTATTTAATTCAATTTGTATCCCTCCCTGCCACCCTGCGAAAGTAGATCAAATGGATGATAAACACACTCTTTTTCTTCGTTATGCCAACTGAGTCACGCCATCTATTCAGTTTACTGCTGCCATTTGAAATTTCTTTACTTTACAAGTACCATCAAGTATACTTTGGAAACATATTGATATAGCGCGGCAACTAACATCGCTGAGCATTAGACACAAGGATTAATTCAATATCTATTAAGCTTTAAATAACAGAAAAAATAAAGTACATTAAGGCTGCAGTCACACACACTAAATAATCCACTTTCAATCCACTTTCAGCATACTTTCTAATTGGATTTTGCCAGCTCACTGAAAGTAGATTGAAAGTGGATTATTTAGTGTGTGTGACCGCAGCCTTTGCCAACATACTACTACTACTACTACTAATAATAATATAAGGAAAAACAGAACACTAAATCTAATTACTGTCCCTGACTATACTTTGTTTAGGTATAATAACCTTTCTATTTCTGTTAAGAAGAAGAAGAGATTGGATTTATACCCCGCCCTTGACTACCCAGAGGAGTCTCAGAGCAGCTTACAAACTCCTTTCCCTTCCCCTCCCCAGAACAGACACCCTGGGAGCAATGTTCCCTCTAAGCCAAGCAGTCTTGTGAGCAAAAATTCTACTTTGTGAGCTACTGGCATTAAAGTTGTGAGCGAGCAATTTGGCTACTGCATAAATCAGTTTGCTCTGGAGCCATCCTTCCTGAGCCAAGACAAACACCCTGGGGAGCAATGTTCCCTCTAAGCCCTTAACCACTACAGCACACTGGCTCTCCAACATATGCACTGGCTATCCAACCACTGGCTATCCAACATATGCACTGTCTTTGGCTGCTCTGGTAACCAAGCCTTTCAGGTGCTGTTCTCTTAACAGTGTTTCCTTCACTATCTCCACTTTAACTCCCCTTTCCCCAAATGACCCTGACTTTCCCCAACTTTATAATGTTTAAACTTCTACCAGTCAGGCATGGACCTTACCAACACGGCCAATCACAGGCAAGTCACCTCTTCCTATTAGTCCCACCTGTCTTCTAAACGCATTCTATCAACTGTAAAATTCTTATTCCTTTTCAACTTTTACTGTTTGCTATTTAACAAAAGCCCTCGTTTTGTTGCACTACCTACCATGCTTGTCTGCAGCACCCCCTTCGTAAACAGCAGACACCACTATTTTTCCAATTGGAGAAGCGACGCCTCCTTCAACCGCAAGATCTAATGACCCTTCCTATTAAAGAAAGAGTCGTTCATAAATGATGGAAGAAACTAAACATATAATACCTGCCTTGAATTGTTTTCCAGGATTAAAAATTGTACATACTTATTTTTGTAACAAAAAATACTATTAATAATCCAAAACAATGCTTTTTGCTACTGACAAGGCGGAACTGGAAGTGAATGACCTTAAATTGTCAGTTAGGGTGGCCATGGACTGTGGCTGACAAATGTGTATCTGATCGTGTCATCCCCGTTCTCGTCCAACTTACACTGCCATGCTGATGCAATTCTGGAGACTTGCATACTGGGTATACTATGCAAGAGGATAAGCATTATATAAAAAGCACAAACGTGCACTTCTTTGCAGTTTCAGTTTTTATTGTAGCTACTCTATATATTACATAGTAATTTAATATAAAGAACAAAAAAATAAGGGTGTTTAGAAGAAGAGATTGCATTTATACCCCGCCCTTCACCACCCTTTAAGTGCACAGAGCCGCTGTTTCCCCCCCGCGTGCCCGATCTCCGCGGAGATCAGGCGCGTGGCCTGCAGCCATCCCTCTCCCTCCTCTCTCTCTCAAGAGAAAAGGGAGAGGGGTGGCTGCAGGTGTTGGGGCTTGGGAACGGGGCTGCCCCCGACAGCCAGCTGGCTGGCGGAGGGTAGAAGCCCCCCAAAAGTGGGGGACCCCTGCCAAACCGGGGTGTGTGTGTGTGTTTGGCAACTCTACCCTGGAGTTCATCTCCCTCTCTTGTTCTGTTGCCAGGCAACCCACTCACCCAGACTCTGAGTAGAAATCATCTCCCTCTAGAGGGCAATGTTTCCAGACCAGGGACCCCACTATGTAGGGGAAACAGGTCACAAGCATTCTAATAATAACTAAAATGTTTTTGCAAGCCTTAAACTTGTTTTCAGTGCCAAGGCTCAGTACTGGAAGATATGAAGAAATAATATAGAAAACAATTTCTTTTGGGCACACAGGGCCAACTAGATGAGATGCCATATCTGGGTTTGCCCCCGTGTGTTGGTAAATAATGCCCCTTTGCACCATTTTGGGTCAGGAAAATGGCATGGGGGGGAGAGGCAGGAGCTTCTCCCCACCACCAACACTGCAGTGGTCGTGACTAGAATCCAGTCCCCATGGCACTCTTTGAAGGTGTTTCAGTTCTCTACAAAATGGAGGCGTGGCCTGAGGACATTGTCTCACACAGTTTGCCCCTGAGCATTAACAACAACTGTCACATGTGATATTATGAAGAGGAAATTCTAATATACTTAAATGGGTTGGACATAAAGGCGTCCATTCAGGAACAGACTGTACTTGGGCAAAGAAGGAGTCCTGCGATTATTTTGGATTTCCTAGTTGAGCTATGTCCTTAAGAGGCTTCAGAGCAGCTTTTTTGGTAGTATGGGAGATTGCAGAAGACAGGAAAAGATGGAAAAAAATGTTTATGGTTCTTTGGATCCAAGCCAATGTGAATTTGATCCCCAGCCCTTTTTATTTTAGAGGTTGAACGCTACTGCTATATCCAAACAAAGAAACGGAGTCTTACAAACTTATATCCTGCTTTTACATTACCTTCTTAATATGCAGAAGTCGCACGTCTTTCCCCATAATCTGATCAGGTGAAAACTAGAAAAATTAAAGAAACACCAGTTAATCATAACTTTTCTTCAAATGAAAATATATAACATGAAGTACAAAACTTAAAATGATGCACGGGCCCTTCCAGACCTGATCTTGTCCAAACACTCCAAATTGCAGGGTTAAAGGCAAGTTCATACTAGGGCTGCCAAGTGGGGGCGGGGGGCAGGTAAACCCCCGCTTTGGAGGCCCGATTTCTGCCGCCACGGAATCAGGCCCCGGGGGGAACTCCGCCCCCCCGAAGTGCAGTGTGGCTGCATCACCAGAGGTGACCCAACCACATCGATCACGTTGGGGGCGTGGCCCGGATCGTCGGAGGGAAAACTCTATGGTTTTCCCTCCGACGATCCGGGCCACGCCCCCAACGTGGTCGACGTTGTGCGTCACTTCCGGTGACGCGCTGGTGGCACGCGCGCACACATCCAAGGACGGCTCTGCCGGTGAGTTTTTTTGACTTGGCAACCCTAGTTCATACCATAGCCGAGAAAACTTAAAATATCCTCAATATCAAAAGTAACTTTAGAGAAACAACACAAATGAAAGAACAGATGGCCTATATTTCAGATCCTCCTTACCATTGTGTAGGGATCGAAGTCTTCCACATACTTCTGGAAGCCCTGAAAATAAAACAGATAATCAAACATGTGCATGCAATCATAAATACAGGTAAGCACCTAAGCAAACTAAGCTACAAAAGAACTTGAGATGAAGACACATACAGTTGCCAGTGTTCCTCCTGACAGTGAGAAGACATATTTATGCAGCACCTTAAAACTGAATTTGTGTTTATGATTTGGTAAACAAACAGTATGGGGTGGCCTACTCTATTCAGTGAGAATGCTTAGAATTTAGTTGCTGAAGATTTAGTTTGTTTAGCCATAGTGAGAATTACAGCAAGTGAACCTATAATGGGTAATTTTGAACTCGAGTAGTGTAATTAAGAGCTGAACTAGATGGTACCAGAAGGCAGCATCCCCCCCAATGATGGTGGCCCTAACCATGGCTCTTTTTGTATCAGGAACTCCTTCGCATATTAGGTGACACACCCCTAACGTAGCCAATCCTCCAAGAGCTTACAGAGCTCTTCTCACAGGGGCTACTGTAAGCTCTTGGAGGATTGGCTACATTAGGGGTGTGTCGCCTAATATGCAAAGGAGTTCCTGCTACAAAAAGAGTCCTGGAGAGTTGCCCCCTGAGGTGCTGTTAAAAGGAGCTGTTAAAAGGTGCTGTTAAAAGGAGCTGTTAAAACTCTATGGTTTTCCCTCGGATGATTGTGGCCTCACCTTCAACGTCCCCTACGTGCTTGCGTCACTTCCGTGTGATGTGCTTGCCACGCGCGCGTGAAGGCTCCCGGAGCAAGGCTGGACTCCCCCGCTCCGGAACAGGTAAGCACTTGGCAACCCTATGCATAACTAATATTGTTGCATAAAGTCTACCATTCTGCTCAGCAAGGTTTGAAGCCTGACTCCAGCCTAAGGAGCCACTTCTGCTGAAGAAAGTTTCCTTAAGCTACAGGAAGTCTTTAAAGATTGCTGAGTGGAGTGGTAGGATACATCATCACATTTTGTAAAGAATACTAAAATGAAAATGAACGAGGCACTGCAACATTGGACCACAATTATTAAACTGATATGTGATTTTACTGTGTACGGTATCCCAATGAGGCCAGAGCTATATTTATGGGAGGGGACAGATGTTTCTGCTGTCAGGAAAGATCTCATTTCTTATATGTTGGTGGCAGCCAAGATTTGAGTGGCTAGGCATTGGAAAATCAGTATACAACCCTCATCGAATATGTGGTTCAGTAAGTGATGGGAATACCTGGTCATGGACAAAATATCAGATGTTATTTCCTTGGTGGAGAATCCGGACTTTCATTCAGATTATTTGGAACGTGGGTTCCCTTTTCTTGAATATATGGAAAAACATAGTAAGCTTAAAATGGAACTTCCTGATCATTTGAAGGTTATATATTAAATATTAAATATAAATAAATTAAAAACACTGTTTTGTTTTATTGCTTGTGTGTTTATTGTGTTTCTAATTATGTTGTTATTGTTGTGGTTGCCTAATAGTATGTGCTACCGTAAATTGTTGTTATATAAATATAAAAGATTATTAAGTTGGGGAAAAAAGAATGGGAAGTTGATCTAGGCATCCCACAGAATTTGAGTAAATGGTCTAGAATAGTCGTGATCTTTGTCGTGACATCTTCATAACAAACAGATGTCATCCCTGAAGAAAAATTATCTGGGAAAATATGCTTTAAGAAAGAGTAGAAACAATATCTTCAGACAAAAACAGTCAGGATCTAACAAGCAAAGAAATGCTACTCTAAAATAAACATTCTGAAATGGATTTGATATTCCCAGGAAAGTGTCACCGAATTGCTCTCTATGTACAGTACTCTACAGCAATGTTCCCTCTAAGCTGTGGAGTCTTGTGAGCAAAAATCCTACTTTGTGAGCCACTGGCATTAAAGTTTTGAGTGAGCGTTTTGGCTGCTGCATAAATTAGTTTGCTCTGGAGCCATCCTTCCTGAGCTAAGACAAAAAGGTGTGAGCCGGGGGCTAAAAAACTGTGTGCTAGCTCACACTAACTCAGCTTAGAGGGAACACTGCTCTACTGTAGTCCTTACAACAGACATATAAGGTAAGCCAGGTAGCATTATCCACATATTGCAGAAACAGAGAAAGTGGCTTGCATAGCGCAACCTAGCGAGCCTGTGGCTAAGACCAGCCAGTGACTTTCCAGATCACAACTAATTCTCCTAGCCATGGTGCTAGTCTTGCCCTGTGCTATTTAAGTGCTTAACGGAGAACGGGAAAACTACTGGTAATGTGGAAAATGCGGGAAGACAACATGTTTCTTGGATTTGAAGTTCACTTTCTTATTTGACAGACTGAAAGGAACAGCACATGGTACAAAGGCCCAAAGTTCCACCAAGCATCTTTCTGATTTGTTCCAAATTCACAGATAGCAACCTTCAGGCTGGAATCCCCATACATTGACCATGTGTTCCATAAAAGAAACATTAACTTAAGATTGTAAGGTCCAAATCTGATTCATGCCCCACGCTCCAGGTAACAAGGAAAGTTCTTTATTATTTACTTCATTCATACTCCACCTTTTCTCCCAATGGGGACCTAAACTGGTTTACACCATTTTTCTCTTATCCATTGTGTCCTCACAACAATCCTGTTCAGTAGGCCAGCCTGAGAGTATGTGACTGGTTCAAGGTCACCCAACAAGCTTCTGTGTAGAGTACAGATTTGAACCTGGGCCTCCCAGATCCTAAACTGATACTCTTACTACTACACCACAGTGTCTGGACACTGTTCAGATAATATTGGGAGGCCTAGGGTTGCCAAAACCCCTCCCCCGGTTTGCCAGGGGTCCCCCGTTTTTTGGGGGGGTTCTACCAGATGGCCGGCGGGGGAAGCCCCGCCCCAACACCCACAGCCACCCATCTCTCTTCCTTTAAGTGTGTGGAACTCGTGTTTCCTCCCAAGCCTGATCTCCGCAAGCTTGCCGGGAAATGCCAGCTTCGTGCTCTTAAAAGGGAAACGCGGCTGCTCTTAAAGGGGAAACGGCAGCTCCTGTATTTAAAGGGGAAACGCCGGCTCCTTTAAGTGCAGGGAACTGCCGTTTCTGGAGAACTGCGCACAGGCAGGAGGGGGGGCGGACGTCCCCAACATGACATCATCACGTCGGGGATGCGCCGCCCCCTCCAGGAACGCCCCCAAAGTCCCCCGCTGGGGGTGGAAGATGGACTTGGCAACCCTAGGCAGGCCTGTAAGTAATTAATTCCAAACATGTATGCAAACTTCGATGGGTTTTGTTCAGTATTTGCTAGAATTAATAAAATATTCAGATTCTGTGAAAGTGTACCACTTATATTTGTAAGGTAGGTGAGTTATACCTGGAATGTTATAAACTATTTAACATGCATGTTATTAAATTCGGCAAAAACAGTGGTTAACCATTGTTAAATGTATTTGTTTATGTAAAGTCTGAGTGGGATCCCTCAGTTAATCCCCTTGGGGGGATTTTTTTTTAGCAATTCTACCTCCCACTCCAGGCCACTGTATGTCAGCACTGTTTCTCAGGGGGCCTTGAACTCTCACAACAGCATTTTAGGAAGTTTTAGTGGTGAGGTTCAAAGTTCTGCAAACGAAGCTCTTTTTATGGATCGCTGATTCCAGTCCCCTTTCCTACTACACACTGTTGCTCTTTGATGAAGAATAATGGTTGATTCAAAAGAGGGATTGCAAGGGAGATTGGAGGAGGTAGCTTTTGTGGGGTCACAGTTCAGTGGTAGAGCATATACTTTTAGGGCTGCCAGTCCCCAGGTTGGGCCTGGAGACTGCTTGAAATTACAACTGATCTCCAGACAATCAGTTCCTCTGGAGAAAATGGTTGCCCTGGTGGGTGGACTCTATGGCATCATATTCTGCTGAAGTCCCTCCCCTCCCCTCCCCACTGTCACAGGCTGGGGTGCCAGTCAAAGGGAGTCCAGAACAGGCCAAGGTCTGGATCCAAGAAGACAGTGCAAAGTCCAAAGCCAAGCCGGGGTCAGGAGCCAGAAACACAGAGCCAAGTCCAAAATCACTAACCAAAACTGTAGTCCAAAGCCAAGCTGGGGTCAGGAGCCAGAAACACAGAACCAAGTCCAAAATCACTAACCAAAACCATAGTCCAAAGCCAAGCCAGGGTCAGGAGCCAGAAACACAGAGGCAAGTTCAAATCACTAACCAGAAATGTAGTCCAAAGCCAAGCCGGGGTCAGGAGCCAGAAACACAGAACCAAGTCCAAAATCACTAACCAAAACCATAGTCCAAAGCCAAGCCAGGGTCAGGAGCCAGAAACACAGAGCCAAGTCCAAAATCACTAACCAGAAGCGTAGTCCAAAGCCAAGCCAGGGTCAGGAGCCAGAAACACAGAGCCGAGTCCAAAATCACTAACCAGAAGCATAGTCCAAAGCCAAGCCAGGGTCAGTAGCCGGAAACACAGAGCCAAGTCCAAAATCACTAACCAGAAGCATAGTCCAAAGCCAAGCTGGGGTCAGGAGCCCGAAACACAGAGCCAAGTCCAAAATCACTAACCAGAAGCGTAGTCCAAAGCCAAGCCGGGGTCAGGAGCCAGAAACACAGAGCCAAGTCCAAAATCACTAACTAGAAGCATAGTCCAAAGCCAAGCCGGGGTCAGGAGCCAGGAACACAGAGCCAAGTCCAAAGCCATAGGATCCAAAGGTCTAGGTGCAAGAGCCAAGCCAACATGGTTGCAAGCAGCATGAAGCTGACTTGTTGCTTCCACAAAGAGTACTTCCCAGAGTGTGGAGTTAAATGCTGCTACCAATTAGCAAGTTGCATGATCGCCCAGGCTCCTGTTAGAACTCTGGGCTAGCTGAGCGTCTCCCCTGTAGCCTGGCGTCTCTTTGCCTGGTTGCTACGTTTTGCCGCAGTCACTCCCTTAAATGAGTCACACGTGGGGGTGAGTCTGAAAGACTTTCAGCTTGCAGTTCTTCCTTCTTATCTGAGTCAGGTGTGAAGACTGTTGCTGCAGGCACTTGCCAGCTATCCTCCTCTGCTGCTTCAGAGGGGCCAGCTGTGGTTTC